TAACACGGATGGAATTCCTGACGGGAGGGATTGCAAAGTCACACTGCAATGGGCATGGGTACTAGGAGCAATAGAGAACTATGGCTATTTTGCAGTCCACCACATGGAGTTGTCAGAATTGAATAATGAGAGGGAGGCCTCCAGGAAAATTGTGAAAATCTAGGCTAAATTACAGAATTCTGGACTGAGTATATATTAATATCATTCATTCCCTGAGGAGGGAAGAAAAGTAATTTTAAATATGAGTTGGAAAATGACAATTTTAAACACAGATCTGAAGGTAAGAAATGAGATTTAGGTTGGTGTTATAGATTTAAGAGTATAACTAATATCTGAAGCAATGGATGTGTAAAGTAGGAGTCCTAAAGACGAAATCCCAGAGAACATCACTTTCTTAAAAACGAGAAAAAATATAACCTAAAGGAGAGTTAGGCAGTATACAAACCAAGCAGGAGTGAGTTAAAAGCAGGAGAGTAAATAATACTATCAAGCCTCACAGGATAACATATCAATCTTTTTTCTTTAATTTTTAATTTATTTTTAGCTGCATTGGGTCTTCTTTGCTGCATGCAGGCTTTCTCTTGTTGTGGCGCGCAGGCTCAGTAGTTGTGGCTTGTGGGCTCTGGAGCGCAGACTCAGTATTTGTGACACACAGGCTTAGTTGCTCTGCAGCATGTGGGACCTTCCTGGACCAGGGCTCAAACCCGTGTCCCCTTCATTGGCAGGCGGATTCTTAACCACTGCGCCACCAGGGAAGTCCCTAACATATCAATCTTATACTGATTAATACCCTATTAATTTTGGCAAGTGAGTGGTTACCTTGGTGAGAGCAGCAGATGAGGTAAAAGGAAAAGGAGACAGTGACACTGACGGTATCGCTAAATGGCTGGATGAAGTGAAAGATCACAGAAACTAGGGGAGATTGGGATGGAAATGAAGGCAGTAAAGGAATGATACTGAACAAACTGAGTGGTCAAAGACTAATGCGTTCACAGTTACAGACCCCACTCTCTGACATGCTGCTGATTTCATCAGTTCCCACACTCTTAGTGTCTCAGTATTTACACAGCACACCTACAGCAAACAAAACAAAACCCCAGGGCTTCCCTGGTGGCGCAGTGGTTGGGAGTCCGCCTGCCAATGCAGGGGACACGGGTTCGTGCCCTGGTCCGGGAGGGTCCCGCGTGCCGCGGAGCGGCTGGGCCCGTGAGCAATGGCCGCTGAGCCTGCGCGTCCGGAGCCTGTGCTCTGCAGCGGGAGAGGCCACAGCAGTGAGAGGCCCGCGTGCCACAAAAAAAAAAAAAAAAAAAAAAAAAAAAAAAAAAACCCCACAACAGTTTCACTACATAGTTCAAACAACTCTGTAGGTATTTAAGTACTAACAAACAATTTAGCACCTACTGGACACTACACACCTTCTCAAACACTGTAATCATACTGGAAATTTTCTGTCACTAATTTTTGTGTGGTATTTGCTTTTCTCACAGCAATTGCTAAAGCCCAGGTTTACAAAGATATGTCATCCAAAAGAATGTTGCAATACAACAGTAAAACTGAAATACCTCAAACTAGTAACTGTGTGGTGTCCAATAAATATGGCTGTGATTTCCTGAAAAATCTGAAATATCCTGCAGCACTGCTGTGGTTCTCTGTGGTGCCCTGGGGCATCTCAGTTCATATTTTGGGAACCACAGCTCTATCCCCTATCCTTGCTTTACTTCTTCATAGTTCTAACCACCCTACCTATTTTATTTATGTATTTTGTTTCCCTCTCTTAGAATGTAAATTCCATAGGGATAGACATTTTGTCTTTGATAACTGCTGTATTCCAGTCTCTAAAATGATGCCTGGCATATTAAGGTTCTTTGGTATTTGTTGAAAGAATGCCCAGGTGCAGGAGTAAAAAACTCATCACATTAAGATGCAATGACAAAAGCATGGAATGTAGTAATTCATAATTTCGGAATTGGAGCTTTATTCAGTTGTGAATAAAGCAGGTTTAAGTGTAGCCAAGAAAATGGGTGGTTGCTTTAGTGAAAGTGAATAATGAACCATCAAAGAACCATCTGGCTACTAGGTAAGTCAACCACATAGATTAGTACTAATGTCACCAAAATGAGACGAAGAGGTATGAGCCAGGTACCAAAGAACAAGAAAATGTATAACCAAAAAGAAAATACTACAAATGAAAGATTTCTTAAGTAAGGGTGACACAGTGATGGGCTGAAAGGGACAACAGGAGGGGGTTCTATGTTCCAGTGAGTTCTAAAGGATTCCTAACTCCCACATCACAAGACACAAAGAAGCAGTGTCCTCGCAGGTGTTAGGTTTCTATTAACCAAGAAGATGAAAAAGATAGTACTATAAAGAGTTTGAGGACATAACGTATTCGTTCCTGATGAAACAGGGTTCCTGTATGCACTGTTAAGACTAACTTCAGGGCAAGAGCTTTATCTTATTCATTGTTTTATTCCTGGAGCCTGTTATAATGTAAAGACTAATTACTGATTGATGTATGAGAAAAGACTCACTGATCAGTCTATAGACTGATCAGAGAGGAATAGAAGAAAGGACTGAGGGCCCAGCAGCCATTCACATAGAGAAAGCACAAGACAGAAAAACAGAGCAAATATGAATTAATTTTTTGAAAAGCTCACATAAACACAATTGCATCTGAAAAATGATCACTTAAGAATCTCAGAATACAGGTCATGAAAAACCTAGAGGTAAGACGGGAATAAAGACACAGACCTACTAGAGAATGGACTTGAGGATATGGGGAGGGGGAAAGGTAAGCTGGGACAAAGTGAGAGAGTGGCATGGACATATATACACTACCAAATGTAAAATAGAGAGCTAGTGGGAAGCCTAGTGGGAAGCATCCGCATAGCACAGGGAGATCAGCTCAGTGCTTTGTGACCACCTAGAGAGGTGGGATAGGGAGGGTGGGAAGGAGGGAGGGAGAAGCAAGAGGGAAGAGATATGGGAACATATGTATATGTATAACTGATTCACTTTGTTATAAAGCAGAAACTAACACCACTGTAAAGCAATTGTACTCCAATAAAGGTGTTAAAAAAAATCAAAGTACACATACATAATTATACATGCAAGTTGTTTAAGTGTACATTTTTTTAAATTCATAATCCCAGTCACATTCTAAAATGCTTTTTTTCTTTTCAGTGTATAAATTGACTTAAGTGTAAGAAAAAAATAATGAAAGTGTTTTTATCTCCCCATGAATTAGGCCATAAATGAGATTCTCAAGGTAAACTACAAATTAATTTAAGGGGTCATCTGTTATTAACAAACACCAGAGAAATGTAATAAACATTGTAAAATCTACTAGACAAATGGTAGTATGTGTAATACTGAATCCTAAAGCTTCTTTTTAACTTTTCATTGTAAATAAACAATGACTCAGGGAGAAGGGACATTTAAAAGAATAATCATATGTATTATTAAAGCAGAAGTGATGAAATTTTCAGGATAACAATGTATTTAAATAATAACCTTGCTGGACTTGAGCTCACCTCCTCTGGCAAAAACTCCAAAATCACAATCAGCTGATTTTTCAGTAGAAACTCTGCAGGCCAGAGGGAGTGGCATGATATAATTAAAGTGATGAAAAAACCTACAATCAAGAATAGCCAGCAAAACTCTCATTCAGATTGGATGGAGAAATCAAAAGCTTTACAGACAAGCAAAAGCTGAGAGAATTCAGCACCACCAAACTAGCTTCACAACAAATGCTAAAGGAACTCCTCTAATGGAAAAGAAAAGGCTGCAAGTAGAAACAAGAAAATTATGAATGGGAAAGCTCACCAGTAAAGGCAAACATACAGTAAAGGCAGGAAATCATCCACACACAAATATATCAAAACCAGCAATCATGAAGAGAGTTACTAATGCAGGATATTGGAAATGCATTTGAAATTGAGACCAGCAACTTAAAACAATCTTGTATATATATAGACTACTAAATCAAAAGCGCATGGTAACCGCAAACCAAAAGAAAAAGCAATCCAAACACAACACTAAAGATAGCCATCAAATCACAAGAGAAGAGCACAACAGAGGAAGGGGGAAAAAAAAATAAAAAGGGCCTTCCCTGGTGGCAAAGTGGTTAAGAATCTGCCTGCCAAAGCACAGGTCACAGGTTTGATCCCTAGTCTGGGACATGCCGCAGAGCAACTGAGCCCATGTGCCACAACTACTGAGCCTGTGCTGTAGAGCCTGCAAGCCACAACTACTGAAGCCTAGAACCTGTGCTCTGCAACAAGAGAAGTCACTGCAATGAGAAGCCCATGCACTGCAACGAAGGGTAGCCCCCAGTCACTGCAACTAGAGAAAGCCCACACACAGCAACAAAGACCCAACACAGCCAATAAATAAATAAATAAATAAAAATTTAAAAAAAGAGGAAAAGAAAAAAGACCTACAAAAACAAATCCAAAACAATTAACAAAATGGCAGTAAGAACATGCATATTGATAATTTCCTTAAATGTAAATGGATTAAATGTTCCAACCAAAAGACAGACTGGCTGGATATGAAAACAAGACCCTTATATATGCTGTCTACAAGAGACCCACTTCAGATCCAGGGACACATACAGACTGAAAGTGAGGGGATGGAAAAAGATATTCCATGCAAATGGAAATTAAATAATAACCTCAGAATTCTACATCTATCAATCATTATCATAATAAATATACCTATAAAGCTAAACCCATGAAGCTAATGGTTGAACAAGAATAGCACTAAAATGAATTTATACATAAAAAAATTTTTGGCAAAATTTCACAAGCTTGTCCATTTTAGAGCCATTCTTTCTTGTTCAATCCAAAAAACAAATCCTATCCAGCAAATGCTGTTACTTCAATAATGGAAAGCTTCATCCACTTATGATCCTGATCTGTATATTACAAAGAGCATTCATCCCCAGATAAAAGAATATTTCATTAACACCAGGCATTCTCAAAGCCTAAAAGCTTAAGAAATAAATTTTCAAAACCAATGATAGTTAAAATAAGGGGCTTTGAATTTGAAATGCTTTGTTAAACTTTATTGTATAGACTAAAATTTTGGTTTCCTGGACTCAGTAATACTAAACTGCCTATTGGGTTTAGTGGCTTCTTGCATCAGCTCCTGCAACTGTCCAATTTGTTCATCACGAAAGTCATTAAGTCTTTCTTCTGGTAGGGAGATTCCAAAACATGATTTTTCAGTTGAATTGTGTCTGTTTTCATTAGCTTGTTGCCATAGCACTGCTGCATATGCCTAGTAAAAAGAAAAAAATGGAAGGTTATAGATATTAAAATGAGATCTGTATTCACTCATTTAATGTTGAAGAACTTAAAGAATTCTATCACTGAGTCTTGTGCATTTGGCAAATAAGACACGAACAATATAGAGCTGTGTCTTTACTATTCAGTGATAATTTCAAATACATATATCTTATTTTTAGCATTTTAAGAGTTTTATTACCAAAGTCCTGAATCTGGAAATCTAGAAGGTTCAAGGCAGGTAGGAGTGGTCCATGAATGGGCTCCAGGAACATGCATAAACCACCCAAAAATCATACACAATATTGTATGTACACAAACATGCACATAGTTCTGGGGCCATAACTTTCATCATATTTTCAAAGGGGGAGCCATGGGTCTTATAGGCTTAAAAGTGGGTCTCAAAATTCTTTAGGTTCATTCCCCTGTCTTCAGTTTAAAAACTAATTTAAATCACACTTAGAAAAAATTTTCAAACATTTATGCTTTCAATATTTAACAACCATCTTTTCCAGAAAAAAATTCTACATTTTTCACACTGATTTTTCTCTCATTCTTTTAATCAGGCAGGAAGTACCACTGCATTTCAGTTCATGAAGTTAAATTATGTGCACCCTCTGGGTAAGTAAACAAATTAGTTAACTCTGGATAATGCTGCTATTGTATCTGGTTTAAGATAATTAAATTGCTTATAACTGTTAGATACCAGCATCACCAAAGAAACTTTAATTTCAGATATTCCAAACCTTTATTTGAATTGGAAATAATATCTTTGTCACATTTTACAGAAACTCATAATACTAAAAAACTGCACACACCCTAGGGCTTTATAAATTCCACTTCTAAGTATATGCCCCAGAGCATAGTTTCTCGACCTCAGTACTATTAACAAAGTGCATAATTTGGATAATACTTTGTAATAGGGTGGGTGGGAATCTGTTTTTGCATTGTAGGGTGTTTAATAGTGTCCCTGGTCTCTACCCACTAGATGCCTGCAGCACCCCTCCTCTTAGTCTTGATAATCAAAAATGTCTCCAAAGACTGCCAAATGTTTCCTTGCAAGCAAAACTGCCCAGGTTGAGAACTACTGTCCTAAAGACACTTTACAACATGTGGACAAGAGGCATTCCAAGAATGTTCATTGTGGCATTCCTTATAAAAGCAAAACATTGTTTATTAATAAACAAAGTGTTTATTTAGACACTTCTTTATAATCTATTAAGTAATTAAATGTCTGTATTAACATGAATAAATCATCAGAATCCAAAAAGCAAGTTAAAAAAATTTATTCATTTGTAGAAATAGAAAAACCAATACTCAAATTCATATGAAAATGTGAGAGGCCTTGAAGAGCCAAAACAATCTTGAAAAAGAAACAAAGTTGGAGCATACACAGTTCCCAATTTCAAAACTTACTGGCTTTAGGGTAGATATATATAGACTAATGGAATAGAACTGAGCATCCAGAAATAAACCCTTACATATATGTCCAACTGACCTTTTTTTTTTTTTTTTTTTTTTTGTGGTATGCGGGCTTCTCACTGTTGTGGCCTCTCCCGTTGCGGAGCACAGGCTCCGGACGCGCAGGCCCAGCGGCCATGGCTCACAGGCCCAGCCGCTCCACGGCATGTGGGATCTTCCCAGACCGAGGCACGAACCCGTGTCCCCTGCATTGGCAGGCGGACTCTCAACCACTGTGCCACCATGGAAGCCCCCAACTGACTTTTGACAATGGTGTCAAGTCCATCAATTGGGGAAAGAATATCTCTTCAACAGATACTGCTGGGAAAATTGGATTTCCACATGCAAAAGAGTAAAGCTGCATCCCTACCTCCCACCATATACAGAAATTAACACAGAATGGATGAAAAACAAACATAAGAGCTAAAACCATAAAACTCCTGGAAGAAAACGGGTAAATTTTCATGACCTTAGATTCGGCAACAAGTCTACGATATGACACCAAAAGCATAAGCAACAAAAGAAAAACTAGATAAATTGGATTTCATCAAAATTAAAAACTTTTGTGCATCAGAAGACACTCAGTGAAAAGAAACTGCAGAATGGGAAAAAATATTTGCAAACTATGTCTGATAAGCATTTAATAACCAGAATATGTCAAGAATTCCTACAACTCAACAATAAAAAGACAACTCAAAAAATGGGCAAAAGACTTGAGTAGACATTTCTCCAAAGATATATAAACCATCAATAAAGACATGAAAAGATACTCAACATAATTAGTCATTAGAGAAATGAAAATCCAAATCACAATGAGATACCACTTAATACCCACTAGGATGACTATAATAATAGACAATAAATAAAAGGAAAATAACACATATGGGTGAGAATTTGAAGAAACTGGAAACTTGTACATTGCTAGTGGGAATATAAAATGGTATAGCCACTGTGGAAAACAGTTTGGCAGTTCCTCAAGAAGTTAAAGAATTACCGCCTGATACAGCAACTCCACTTACAGGTATATACCCCAAATAAATGAAAGTAGGAACTCAAACAGATACTTGTACATCCATGTTCATAACAGCATTCATTATTCACAACAGCAAATATGTGGAAACATATCCATCAACAGATGAATAAATAAAATGTGGTGTGAACATACAATGGAATACTATTCACACTTAAAAAGAATTCTGATACATTCTACAACACAGATGAAACTTGAAAACATTATGCTAAAACTGAAATAAGCCAGACACAAAAAAACAAATATTGCAGGATTCCACTCATGTGAAATATGTAGAACAGGCAAATTTATAGAGACAAAAGTGTAATAGAGGATACCAGGGGCTGGGGGAGAGGGAGTGGGGATGTACTGCTTTGGGGGCACAGAGTTTGTTTGGGTAAGAAAAAGTTTTGGGTATACACAGTGGTAACCGATGAACAAGACTGTAAATGCAGTTAATGCCCCTGAGTGGTACACTTAAAAATGGTTAAAGTGGGGCTTCCCTGGTGGCGCAGTGGTTGAGAGTCTGCCTGCTGATGCAGGGGACGCGGGTTCGTGCCCCGGTCCGGGAAGATCCCACATGCTGCGGAGCGGCTAGGCCCGTGAGCCATGGCCGCTGAGCCTGCGCGTCCGCAGCCTGTGCTCCGCAACGGGAGAGGCCACAACAGTGAGAGGCCCGCGTACCGCCAAAAAAAACACGGGTTCGTGCCCCGGTCCGGGAAGATCCCACATGCCGCGGAGCGACTGGGCCCGTGGGCCATGGCCGCTAAGCCTGTGCGTCCGGAGCATGTGCTCCGCAACGGGAGAGGCCACAGCAGTGAGAGGCCCGCGTAAAAAAAAAAAAAAAAAAAAAAAAAAAATGGCTAAAGTGGTAGATTTTATGTTATATGTATTTTTACCACATTATAAAAAAAGCTATGCAAGGAGTTCTACTCCCATTAATTGTGCAGTACCTTCTATCAGACCAACCCTCCTGCAGATAACATAAAGTCTACACAAAACATAATCAAACAACAATCCCAAGACACTGGAGAGCAACCAAATCAGAAAGCAGAAAGGAGTTGACAGAATGGACAATGGCAGGGAACACAGGGTTAGACTGCCACTTTTATGGCATTTTTTCTGAGGGAAGATGCCAGTTGGTGCTGCAAGGTTACTGAGGACTCAGAGCACAGTGTGGGAGAACAGCAGCAGCTGGAAAGTAAGAAAGGGAAATCTCAGAAAAAGAACTACAAAAGGGGAACCCCAAATTCTGCAAATAAACTCTGCCAAAATCTCTGGCTAACCCCTTAACTAAGCATGCTCACGACATACTAAAGCCCAGTTAAGGCAAAAAGAACTAAATAGACACTTTTTGTCAAGGGGGACACAGAGTTTGGAATCTGAGTTCTGCCAAGTTAACTGCTTGATAAAACAAAAATCAATACACTTTGGAAGAACATAGTGGAATAATGTCTCTACAATGTATCTGTCATTCACAGTGTCCAGAAAAAAATCCAAAATTACAAGAAACATGAAGAAACAAATGTGACCCATAATCAAGAGAAAAGGCAATGCCTGAAATGGTTCAGACATTAAAACTAGCAGCAAAGGATTCTGAAACAGCTATTATTTATGTTCAAATACATACAAGAAAATCATAATAAATGCAGAGATGAGAAATCTCAGCAGAAAATGAGAAACTGTAAGAACCAAATGAAAACTCTAGAACTCTAAAATGCAGTTATCTGAAATTTAAAAATCCTCACTGAATTGGCTTAACAGCATACTAGAGATGAGAAAAGAAAGATTCAATGAACTTGAAAGTATGTCAGTAGAAATTATCCAACCTGAAAGTGAAAAACTATTAAAAAATGAACTTAATCTATATTTCTGTTTTTGTGCCAGTGCCATACTACCTTGATTACAGTAGCTTTGTAGTATAGTCTGAAGTCAGGAAGCCTGATTCCTCCAGCTCCGTTTTTCTTTCTCAAGATTGCTTTGGCTATTTGGGGTCTTTTGTGTTTACATAAAATTGTGTGATTTTTTTTGTTCTAGTTCTGTGAAAAATGCCAGTGGTAGTTTGATAGGGATTGCACTGAATCTGTAGATTGCTTTGGGTAGTAGAGTCATTTTCACAATGTTGATTCTTCAAGAACATGGTATATCTCTCCATCTATTTGTATCATCTTTAATTTCTTTCATCAGTGTCTTAAAATTTTCTGCATACAGGTCTTTTGTCTCCTTAGGTAGGTTTATTCCTAGATATTTTATTCTTTTGGTTGCAGTGGTAAATGGGAGTGTTTCCTTAATTTCTCTTTCAGATTCTTCATCATTAGTGTATAGGGATGCAGGAGATTTCTGTGCATTAATTTTGTATCCTGCTACTTTACCAAATTCATTGATTAGCTCTAGTAGTTTTCTGGTAGCATCTTTAGGATTCTCTATGTACAGTATCATGTCATCTGCAAACTGACAGTTTTACTTCTTCTTTTCTGATTTGGATTCCTTTTATTTCCTTTTCTTCTCTGATTGCTGTAGCTAAA